AAAAAAAAAAAAAAAAAAAAGGAGCGGTGATGTTAATCTGTAAAAGATTACGATAAAATGAAATAAGAGTTTCCAGTTTCCACATTATTTGGGATAAAACAGCCCAAAAATATGTAGGTTCGACAGATCCTACAAAATTATTAAGGGTCGAGGCTTGTTGCCTCTTTCATTGCTAAATGCTATGTTAGAACAATTTCAAAATTGGCATTATGTTGTTTGATCCATCTTCAGTAGGATGACGTGGAAATTATATAAGGTAGGCTTGTAACTTATAAGCTCTAGATGAAATAAGGATAAAAAATTGGGAAAATTATGGCATTACAGCTAGTGCGAGGGGGACAAAATGGAGGGTTTCCTCTCCAGCAAGAGTAATCATGCTGGGACAGACAGAGGAGCCAGTTGGAGCAAGCAGAGTGAATGGAAATCAGCCCCTATCTGTTTTGACACCCGCTCCAGCAAGGAGACGGGCACACTGGAGTGAGTGGTGTCTCTTCAGATTTTGATCGGTTTTCTCTGTCTTCCCTTAATTTTTGAGTTTCTTTTAATGTGATTGAATTTCTAATTCAAATTGGAAAGCCACCTTCGATAAAATGCAACTTTTTGAAGGATTGCAAGTAAAATGTAGATATAGATTGTTTTATTTCCCCTTATTATAGAATTGCCAATTTGTTGTTCTCGGTCTCCCTCAGCTTTGCATCTAAGAGCATATTTTTGCATCTCTTTTCTCCCAAATTTTGTTTAAAGGTATAATTGTATCTTGGAGACGAATTTACATACCTGAGTGCATCATAGTATTGCTGGGGGAAAACATCACCTTAAGGAAAGTGTTTTTTAATGTGCCTTGAAGCTGGTTTTGGTGATTTTCGCATTATTACTCTATATACAAATCTCACATTTTTAATCTGTTATTCTTCTTTTTATCTTCTAAAAGTTCTGTTGCTTCCACATCAACATGCTAGAGTTATCTGGGGAATCAAGTGGCAAATGTTCTCTGGATACATTCGAATATCAAATACCAATAAATTATTGTCACTGGATGGATATAAGCAAAGAAGAACAAGACTTCAGCACCAGAAAGCTCCATTAATTGTTTCTTTTTAGCTGATTAAACATAAATATGATTTTGATCACTTTAGATATAATGAAGTATGTGGTTAATATACAAAATATAATAAAATATGTATTCGTAACTAAACAGATCACGAAAAGAGACTATTCTAGTTGCTAAGGTTAAAGTTGTAGTAAATTGACTAGTGGATCTGTCAATGAACCCAAACTAAATGGCGAAAAAGAAAAACCCCCAAATTTATTTGAAATAAGGGTTAGTTTGTTTTTTTGTTGTAGCATACATAAGAAATTAGGCCTAATGGCTTATAAGTTTAGTGGTGAACAAAATTCTATGAATCAGGTTTAAAGTGAATGATCAATAAGTCATTTCGAGCATTCAACATGTAACATAGAAGGACAACAAGTTCAATAAGCCCCAGAATTGCAAGGTTTTATACCAAAATTAAAATGCAAAAATGGCATGCGATGTTACTAACATATATACTTGCAAAATAGCACTTATTAAGAACTAACCTTGAACATATGTAAATAGAATTGTTTATCTGGATTAAGTCTCTTCAGCTTCAAGTATGTATATGCAAAGCTCAGCTGATCACGTGATGTAAAACGATCAACTTCATTGAACCAGAGGCATGAAAATAAATTTGACATTGGAGTATGGGCCCTGATAATAAATGACCCTTCTGGTACAACTACAAAATGCACAAAAGCCAAAATTAGCATGTGAAGTCAATAGAGAAAGGGCTTCCAGAGAGGAAGAGGCAGTAACTAAACTAGAAAAAAGATGCCAATGACACGCACAGCTTGGAAGAAGAATTTTTGGGTCTGAAGGGTCAAACTTGATAAGACCGTCAGACTGATAAAAACTGAACTGTTCATCAATAGCTGTATGGTTGTACTTGTTCAGTCGCTTATTTTGGAGTACCTCCTCCCAAACACAGTGGCGACTATAATGATTTGAAATAGCATATTCTGAAACCGTCCTCCAGAGGAAGTATTCAATGATCAGCATAGGGTCAGCATTAAGTCGTAATTTGCTATCAAGCCAAATAGAATACCTTCATATAGAAAACACCACAAGCAAAACAAGTTGTTCAAATTAAAACAGATGCATTAAACAAAACAGATAAGTTCCATCTCTTCGAGAGACATTTTGCTCTGAGAATCACCTAGATGAAGGAAAGAGGCGATGTGATAAAAATTTTGGCACCTTTCCAGTTTTCCGCATATCCTCATATGGTAAGTTCCTCACTAAAACTATTTTCCATAATCCAATATTCCCTTTGTCATCTGGAACATTCCCTTCAGCTGAGAGTTTAACCAAAGTTTGCTCGTCCACAAACATAACGAAACAAACATTTTTCTTTGAGTATTCACTTATCTGAAATTAGCAAGACAAAAGACTCTGTACTTATCATTGAGACTGAGAGATTAAACACAAAATGTTGAGCTAGAATTCACATTTTGGCACCTAGAAGGAAAAAATGTCTGAAACCGAAATGTCAAGTCATCACTTCCACTTACAAGACTATATTGAGCAATGGTAAATGAAAGTCAACTTGCAAGTTGAAATACGTACTAGATTACATACCAATAAAAGCTAAAAGATTATAATGATGCCAACAATTTTTTTGACAACCAATGACTTCTAAGATGCATGAAAATCCAGCAATTTCTTTCTTTCTTTAAATCATTTGCATTTCAACTAAACAAGAGTTTTTCTCGATGGGGAGCGGGGGGTACAAGTCATGCCAAGTTGGAAAAAGTCAATATTCTTCCATTGATTTCCATGGAAACCAAAAAAAAAAAAAATGTTTTGGAAGAGTTTCTTTCTCCTTTCACCTCTGATACTTCTTCATATAGCACAACATCAACTCAAAGAGGAATTATGAATTAATCACTGCCTAATACTTTCAGAAAAACTTCCTAAAGTGTAAGATGTATGCCAAAAATGTAGTGACTAGTTACCACTTTGCTGGTTGGTCTTCTCAGAAAATCAGAGCTTCCAAAAATGCACGAGGATACAGCAACACTGCATGTACTCATATATTTTTTGTCCTTCTCATCCAATTCAAACCCAGTTCCTGGAAATCCATCAGGTCCACTCACAAAACCACAATGAATTGTTTGACTTCTTGCATGGTAGGATTTATCTCTTTCTTCTAGAGTCTGATGTCCTCCAAAATGAGCCTCAAAAGTATCATTCTGGGATATCCTCTCCTCTCTTTCAGCATACCCCAAGTAGAAATGAGCAAATTTATTATTATCCATTGGCTCACGTAGATAATTAACTGAATCAATAAATGGTACCTCACAGGGAATGTAACCTGAAAGATAATAACGAGGGGAAGTAAACACATGATAACAGCGTGTTTCACAAGGATTGTTTTATTTTATTTGTATTTTATGAAAAATGTATTTCAAGGAATAGATATGCATGTTTATTTTTCCCAGAGCTAATACGACCTGGGTGACCTAAAAGTCACAGAAGACGACATAACTTTCAAGATTAATTTCTCATTTGATAGGTAAATAGTTATGAATCAAATCTGGCCACCTCATATTCGAAATAGAAAGATTTCTCATACATAGTTTGTTTTCCAGAAAGGACCTCAGGATTCTATCATCTAGAGTACATAACAAAGCATTACATCTGCATTAAGTTAAGCCATTGAAACATATCTGTATTATGAAATGATCATATGCATAAACTGGGTGATCCACTAAAATTATACATTGCAAGAAGGCAGCTAAGTGAGAAATAGTACATCATATATAGGAGTATTTAGAAAGTTATAAAACTATGCTTACGTTGTCTATGTGGTTTCTTTCTTTGTTGCTGTGACACATGCTGTGAAACGTTATGCACCATTAATTCTTCTTCAACATGGTCCAAAGAAGAAATGCCACCTTCCGTTCACATGAAAAAGACAATATTAAGACATTTTTATGAACAAATTAAAAATCGCAATTACAGTGTATACACTTAACAAAAGATATTTTATTCAAGGTCATACACACATCAACAATAAGTTTTATTTTGTACAATAGATGAACAGATGCCTCTTTTTATCACAGATAGTAATAACATCTCGAGCTTAGCAGAAAATGCTTAACAGTGTCATCAGAAGGTAGCCAGCCATGAAGGGAAGCAACCCTTAAGCGCGATAACTTCAAAAGTAAACTAACACAAAAAATTCTCTAATCAAAATGACACATTTTACTCAAAAGTTTTTGTCAAAGATATTGAATAAGATTACAGAGATCGTCAAAGATTGCGATTACAATATTTACTTTCCTTAGTAGTAGATTACGTAATATTTCCTTTTATGTTTGTTTCCTTTTACAGTTATTTGTAACCCTATAAATAGGGTCTTCTACATTGTAATATAATCAAGTTTATNACCACACATTCCATTGACACATAAGTACTATCCACTTATCCACCACTTATTTTTATCTATTTATAAATTCTTCCAAAATGGAGACATATATTTGATTTCTCTTTGTTTTAAATATATCCCCACAGGCAGCTAATGACTGTGATCTTGAACCAGTTGCTTATGAATTTTTCACGCAAGCTTCTGTACAGTACGAGGAAGAAGTTGCGGTACTTATTAAATATAATCAGTTTATTCAGTTACTATATCTTATACAAGTTTTTTCTTAGAACTGGAATGGGGCTATGTTCTAAACTTCAATGTTTATGTTAAAATTCTGTATTCTTAGGATTCTAAAGCCCAGGTGACTGCTATACACCTAATAATCGGGACTCTGCAGAGGATGAATGTCTTTTGCGTCGAAAATAGAGATACCTTGACTCATAAAGCTACAGGGGTATATCAATGTTCTTTGTATCTTTCTTCATAAAGACAGTTTACCCTTCATCCCAGCCTGATTGTTCTTTTCTGTTTAGTATTCAGCAAAACTTTTAAAGAAGCCTGATCAGTGCAGAGCAGTTTATGCCTGTTCACATCTCTTCTGGGTTGATGATCAGGATGGCATCAAAGATGGAGAAAGGTTAGCTATGTGAAAATAATCATTGGCATTATCTCCAGACATACATGTTTAGGAAATTGATTAAAACTCTTTTTAAGTTATATTATTAGCTTCGCAGACATTGTAAAATGAGTTGTTCAATTGAGATGTATTGGATAATGGTTCATTCGGTTAAATATAGCAATATAATATGGAATATTTTTCATTATAATATTGTTTTTTAGTGTAGGATTACTTTCCTTAATAGTTGATTGTTTAATCTTTATTTTTTTTTATTTCCTTTTACAGTTATTTGTAATTCTATAAATAGGGTCTTCTACATTGTAATATAATCAAGTTTATTATATACAATTTATAATATTCTTCACAGTTTTAACAGAACACTTGCGTTGATGTTGTGATAGGATAAAAGAATCTTTAATCTCACCATGAAAGTGCATCTTCAATCCAAAAATTGCCAAACAGATAAAGAACATCACTGCAAGTGACAACAGCCAAAACAATAAACTGTGTCTTGAAAACCGACTAAACCTCCGCACTCGACGAGAAGCACGTACATTTTGCTCACTGTAATCCTGAGACTTATTATTGTGCTTAAGGTAAGCCATCAAAATATACTTTCCACAAAGCTATTATGAACCAGCTCATCTGCAACACAAAAAATGTAGATACTCTTTAAAACGAAAAGTTAAATTAATAAGTTACCTTAGGTTTTTTATTTCTAAATTTTGGAAATTCAGCAACATACTATACCCGCTGGAACAGCATCTAGACTACTTGTAAGCACGCATAAATAGCCCCAATTTAAATGTTATCTTAAAACATGCAGCTGAGTTTTTATTCATTTTCATTTCTAAATAAATAATTGGATCACCGGTAAGTAACAACTACATTCCGAAAAAACAAAAGCTCGTCCTGAATCCCAAAGAAATGTGAGCATAGGACTTGCATATGCCTAGATTACAGCATTAATTATATGCAGGAACCATTATTGGCTTCATAATCTACGCATTTACGCAATTCATAAGCATGTATCATAGAAAACGTGCGTTCTCATTATACGTTTGGGTTTTTAATCAATAATTTAACAACAAGAGCTACCTGATTCAGAATTTAATAGATTTACAGAGGATTAACAATATTTTTACCTGATTTTAGATTTGAAATCTATCCAAATAATGCGGGGAATGTTAGAGCCACGGCGAGTAGCGAAGATGGACAGAGATCTCTCCAGTGAATCCTTTTCCCAAAAAGGAAAAATTCGTAAATGGGAAAGTGTTCCCTTTTCTTCTTTTCATACAGGTTGAGAAAATAGCTCAGGAGCTACCAACTTATTTGTAATGTTATAATTTGGTCCAAAACTTATTTTTAGACAAATTTTGACATCCGACTTACATCGATTTTTATATACTCGATCATTTAAAATTTTATTTTCCTTAAAAAAGTTTTTACAGCTTATCTTAAGAAAAAAACTATGTCTCAAGTTGAAGTAGCTCGATTACACTATAAATTTAAAAATAGAGATTACAACGAGGCTCAATCCAAACTTATTGTAAATTTAAACGTGTTCACTTAGGGTTTGTCTGGTGCTGCTGAAAATTACAATTTGGACCGTTGGATTTTTAAATACCCTGTCTACTTTTAAATTAATCCGACACTAGTTGCAGAAAAAGTCCAGACCCTAACTACAATTTTTTCAATTTTACCCTCACTTCACGCCTGCTTAATGGTCATACGAGGACAAAATGGGGAATCAAGATGATAGCCAAATGACACTATCCAATTGTGGGACGCAGTTGAATTGGTTTTCAGTCAACAACTGCGGCGCTGAACGGTCGGAAAATTATTTTTTGGTTGAAATAATTTCCTCCAGACAGACCCTTAAAAATATAGTTCGAACTAGGTTTGAATCGTCCTTCAAATTTGAAGACCGGACCGGTCCATAAACTTGCCATATTATGAGTTAGTTTGGTCCAGTCAATCATTTTTTTTTATGAAATTTGATGCCATTTAAATTAAGTTATAATTGAAACAAAAAAAAAAAAAGAAAGAAAGAAAAAAGTAATGATTGTTAGAAAAAATGTGAAAAGGATTTTTAGCCAAAAATTAATTTTTATAAGAAAAACTTAAAATCATATTAGAATTTAGAAAGAGAGAATTTTCGTATTGCAATTGAAAAAGAGTTCAACCCATGTTCTATCATTATGGTGGGCCAACTTATGAACCGATCCAAAATGAGTCGGACTAATTTTGATTCGATTTTGCCTATGATCGACGAGATAAAATTATCCAATTCATTTTGACACTACTAAATTAATTAGGCAAATTGATAGTTTCAATTGAGGTTAGGGATGTTAAAACTGCAAAATGGTCAAGGAGGGGGAAAATGTGTGAGAAAAATAAATAAAGGGAAGAGGGTCCAAAATGCAATAATTCATAAGTACACTCTCTCGAGATACAATTTCTTCCTCAAGTGTAAGAGCAAACAGCCATAGCTAGGGGCGTCAACGAGTCGAACCAAGCCGAAACTTGAGGCTCGGGCTCGGTTCGAGTAAAAATTGTTCGAACTTTTTTTAGCTCGAGGTGAGCTTTTGTTCGGCCAAAAAAATTAGGATCGATCCAAACTTTCGGCTCGGGCCTTGTCAAGCTGATTCGGCTCACGAATTTTTTATTTTTTATGCATGGTTGCCAGCTAAGGTATATGCCCTTTTTTTAATTTTTTTTTTTTCTTTTTTTCAAGGTTCAGCTCGTCGTGGGTCGAAAATAGTCTGTAACAAGTTCTAAGATGGCCCGAGCTCGGACGAATGCCCAAAATGAGGTTCGGCCCGAGCTTCGAGTAGGGTCGGCTCCGACTTTTTCTGGGCCGAACCAAGCAGGCTAGCGAAAATGACACCCCTATCCATGTCGACCGGCCTAGAGGAGCTTTTGGGCTCTCTCATCCCCTTCTCCACCTGTAATCCTATTCACTTATATGAGAGTGTTTAGTGGGGATTAAAATTAGATTTTTAATATATTGTGATAAAAGTTTTTGAAATGTGCGGTTGAAAAGATGTGAGATCCATGGAATATGTGGTTAATATTAATTGTTTGACTTTGACTTATATTAAAATCAAATTTTAATTCGGCCAAAATATGCCATATACATGCACATATATACATAGTACAAGCTTTTTTGTTGAGATTTTAGTACTTTTTAGTTTCGAAAGATATGCACACGAATTTGTATTGTATTCGATTATTACTTTTACATGAATTTGTTAATTTAGAGGTAGTTGTGTATTTTATTAATTATATGAATTCAAATACCTTATAGATTAAAAATGTGGCTGTTGATATTGTTCGGGATTATTTGGGATCCGAGGATGAGTTTCGTTCTCTTGGCAAATACTCCAATGTTGTCTTGCCTTCGTTGTCTCATCTTTTAGCTGAAGGAAAGGTGGTAGTTTTTGTACTTTTTTGTTGTACAAATTTAGCCTTGTAAATACCAAATGTTGGCTAGTAATCAGCGAACATATAAAATATGTGAACTAGGAGTATTGATACTTTATGAGTTTACAATATCAATATGTTAGAATAATTCAATCAATATGACAACACAACTACAAAGCAACTACATAACATAATTCATAGTGGAAGGAAGTGTACACACCGATCTTTAGGAATGGAATTTAGGCTATTAAGCCACTTGGCAAAATTTGTTAAATAGAATTAGAATATTCCATTCGTGTATAATTGCTTGTATGGAGTTATCGTGTATATAAGTTGAATAAAATGAGAAACTCGGTGAGCTGAGAAATTGTTCAAAAATTTTATGTTTTTAGACTTGGTCTCAGAGCTACTATGGCTAACGCTGACACAAGCAATCAGTGTTTTCCAAGCTCCACACCGTTCACCCAAGCTGGTGTAAATTAAGTCTCACTGTTTGGGATAAATCTTACCAAAAATCCATCCGTGAAGCTTGACAGGAATAACTACTTGCCGTTAAAAAACATGATTATGCTTATAATTAGAGTGCATAATCTGGAAGGTTATCTACTTGGGACTAGGAATTGTCCATTAGAATTCCTAGCTATACAGACCACCACCAGTGGAGGAGATGCAGTAGAGATGGTTGAGAATTCTGAATATAACAAGTGGATCTCAACTGATCAGTTGTTAATGGGCTGGTTATACTCTTCCATGACTCTAGAAATAGCAATAAGGGTCATGGGGTGCACCAGTTCAAACACATCATGAATTGTTGTAGAGGAAAGCTATAGAATATTAATAAGTCAAGAGTGGTATTCTTTACTGGAGAACTGCAGAGGACAAGAAAAGGCTCCATGACCATGGACCAATACCTCACCACCATCAAACAAGTAGCTGATAATTTGCAGATAGCTAGGAAGACAGTTGATCACAGTGATCTTGTAACTCAAGTCCTACTAGAACTAGATAAAGAGTTTACACCCATTGTAGTGCAAATCAATAGCAGGGAAAATATATCATGGCATGAACTATCTTATGTGTTGATGACTTTTGAAAATAGACTTGAATATTTGAATCAAGTCAGGAACAACTTTGCATCGCTTGATGTTGGCCAGTTAAGTGTACATCTCACCCAAAGAACAGGTTTAGGAAGTGGCAAAATCTATAGAGGAGTTAACAGTGGTATGGCCATGAATTTCAGAGGCAGGATAAGAGCAAGAGGTAGAATAGGAAGGCTAAATGAAACCAGGAAACCTTGCCAAATTTTTGGGCTGAACAATCACACAACAAGCTGATGTTTTAACATATATGATGATAGATACATGGGCAGCAAACCTAGCAACCCAAATAATCAGAACAACATCTCGATTCCTATTGCATATGTGACTTCACCAAAAATGCTTGAAGATCAAGCTTGGTTTCCAGACTCTGGTGCTAGTAACCATGTCACGGTTGACAAAGGTAGCTCGAATATTATTAAGAAATATGAAGGTAAGGAGAAACTATTGGTTGGTGAAGGAAATTTTTTACTCAATTTACATATTGGGAGAGAAAATATTCCTTCACTTAATGACAAGTCTCTTGCACTAAATAAATTGCTACATGTACTTGCAATTAGGAAGAATTTAATCAGTGTTTCCCTGCTTACAAATGATAATAATGTGTTCATGGAATTTTATTCTGATTGTTGTGTTGTTAAGGATCTGCAAACCAAGAGGACTCTACTGCGAGGAATGCTTAAGGATGGATTATATCAGCTGAGGTTGCCAAGTTCTAAACCCAAACTTACAACAAAGGAGTCAGACTATCAAAATAAGCACAACTGCTTCACTGTGAATTCCAGTTGTGATGAGTCATCCAAAAGATTCAAGGTGCTAGAGTCTGAGTTTGATGTGTGGCATAGAAGACTTGGCCATCCTTCAAATTACGTTTTAAGTCAAGTTCTAAAGTCCTGTAATAAATTCACAAAAGTTAATGAAATTCCAGGTTTCTGTGAATATTATCAATATGGAAAATCCCATGCATTACCCTTTAATACATCTTATTCTCATGCATCAAGTCCATTATATTTAGTTCACACGGATGTCTGGGGACCTACACCAATGAATTCTACCTCGGGGTTTAGGTACTACATTATCTTTGTGGATGATCATAGCGGGTTTACTTGGATCTACCTTATAAAACATAAATCTGAAGTACTAACAATCTTTGCTCAATTCAAAACTCTGGTGGAAAATAAGTTTGAAAAGAAGATTAAAAAATTACAGTCTGATTGGGGAGGAGAGTTCAGAAATTTCAATAAAATTGCCTTAGAATCTGGGATTGAACTTTGTGCAAAAAGACAGGGCGGAGAGGAAACATAGACACATCGCTGAGACTAGACTAACTCTTTTAGCTCAAGCATAAATACCTCTACATTATTGGTAGGAATCATTTCAATCAGCAACATATCTAATCAATAGATTACCTACACTTGTAATCAAACACCAATTACCTTATAAAGTGTTGTATGGTAGAGATTTCAACTAAAGGTGCTTAAAACTTTTTGTTGTGCCCGTTACTCTTGTCTTAGACCCTATAAAAAACATAAACTCAGTTTTCATTCACAGAGCCGTGTGTTCTTAGCTATGGTGATTCACACAAGGGATATAAGTACCTAAGCTCAAGTGATAGAATCTATGTTTCCAGACATGTGATATTTAATAAACTGGACTTTTCTTTCAAATCTGGTTTCTTGAACAAGTTGTCTCAACCGCAAACCACTAAAACTCCTATGAGTCTTCTTCCATTTAATATTGAGTCTAACCACGCAACAATACCTCATAATGCAGTTGATATAACTCATCCTAATGCATCACTTGAAGAAGACTTTCTTGATGTAGAACCAGATCCTGAAGTGGAATATGAGATAGGTGAAGGAGGTAGATACTCAAGTGCGCCAAGATGAACCAACTGATCAGGAAATTGTTAACATCAATCAAAATGAACCAACGGGCTTTTTCTCCGAAGTTCCCTTGGCGCGCTCTTTCTTTTTGAAGATTTAGGATCTATTACGCTCACGTCGGCAATATTTTGCGAATTAGTACATTACTACCACTACTAGTAATGGTAAATGAATAGTTGACCGGGAAAGGACACTACTTCCACTACTCAACTTTGAAGACCTCAATTCTGTAGCTTGAGATTTTATCCAGTCCCTTATCGCACGTGCCCACCCTTCATCGTTTGTAGCGAGGTCTGCCACCTCTGAAAAATCCTAACACATATAATCGTATCTCAACTATTCAGGAATATTAACCAATCTGTCATAGTTCACTGCAACCCTCGTGTCTGTTTTACTGACATTTCTCCTCCATCGTCGTAATATATACCTATATGACATTGTTGTGACGTCATTATGGTTGAATACTGTGATAGCATGCCTACAAATAATTTCTCGAAACTCGAACAAGTGGCAGCTGTAAATAACTTCACCGGTGTCCATCCGAAATGGGATGAAAAAAGTTTTCTTCTTCCTACCCTCGGGATATACAACAAATTCCCGAACCTCATACTTCGTCCCAAAACATCCATCTGAAACTAAAACGACATCGCAATAAACCTTCCATATGAATTCATCTTGAACTTCCTTGAACTTTGAAATAGTGTATACTGATTGAAATTTTTATCCATTTCAAAAGTTGTTGCATACGGTACCATTTGCGAGAATGACTTGAAATCAGCCAGAAACTCATTCTCTGGCAATTTCTTCATAATGTGCCACAAACACTATCTATACTTAGTACTTGGAAAAACAATCTTAATTGAATTTTACATAGACCTATCTTGAACGGTAATTATTCCATGGGGAGGTTGGTCATGCATACATTGAAGTTATTGATAGCCGAAGTTTCACGGGTTACCTTTCTTCTTAGCACAGAAAGGGATACCTTGCGGTAGTAGTCTGCTCCGCTAGACTACCTTTCGCTTTTTCTCGATCATTTTGGGACGAAAGGAAATTTGATCACAATTTAAAGAAAGCTTACAACATGAGTTGAAATGCATTGAAATAAAATTGATAAGACAATTTAATTACAATTTGTAGAAAGCTTACTATATGAAATTGAAATGTATTGAAAGTAAATTGATCTTTAATTGTTTGAAAGCTAGAAATTACAATTGATGAAAGTAGGAAATTACAATGACTAGTGCAAGAGGTGAACACTAGAAAACTTGAAACTGTTTGAAAAACTAATACCCCCTATAATAGACTTAGCAACAAAAACCCGAATGACGGAGTAGACATTTAAAAGCCGAGGAATTATACAAAACTTTTCTAATTTCCATCCATTTTACAATTAAATGAAATATTTACAATGTGCAGCCGAGGTTGGGCAAACTGCGACTGCGATAGGATCACGGGGCTTAAGTAAAGCTGCTGCCCATGACATTCTCCCCCATTTACTTTGGCGATGTCCTCTGAGCCACTGATTATTCTTCTCGTTGTTGTATCTGCTCCATTTGACCAAGTACTCTTGAAGATATTTCCTAGAGCTCGATGGCCAAAATCTTTTCAGCAACCTTCGTTTCTGATATTTTCAATTTAAAAACAGGTCGCTTCAGATCTGCAAACTTCGTGTACTGTTTCTGATCGATATTCGCGTACAAGAGAGTAACGGTTGCTGGCCTGTAGTAATCTTAAAAGGACTCTTATTGGAAGAAGAGCTCTATTGAGCGTTGAAACACATCCGGGCCATATTCGAAAGTTTTACCCAATTTTCATGCGAAGCAAAGATAAAGTGTAGAAAATAGTCTTCCAGCATAGAATTGAAGCGCTCCTTCTGTTCGTTAGATTGTGGGTGAAAACTAGAATTCATGCTCAAAGTTGAACCAACAAGTTGGAACAACTCGGTCCAAAGTATGCCAGTAAATCGAGAATCTCAATCACTGACGATGTTTTTAGGCAGTTTC